CCAAAAACGCACATTCCTTGGAGCAACAAATGGACAACAAGACATGGTATCGTTTTCCCTGAACACAGAAACTTGCAAGAAAAGTTACCAGGATACATACCATCGAAAGAAGCGGAGAAAAAGTGGACAATAGCAACAAGTACAAATTTAATCCCTGTATTCACTAATTTTGAATCTTTGATACCTGTCCTTTCAGTGCCTTGCTGAATGTGAAAAGACAGGAACGCCAAATGCCACCAAAACCAGCAGAAGTCGTGTGATTGTTGATATAGTTTCCATGACTCCTTGTGGAAGTTCAAGTAGTGCAGAGCATTTGCCAGAGAAAAACCAAGGCAACAATTGTTATCGCTTGAACAGGGAAGCATTTTCATCTGGTCCCCATTTTTTTGTAACTTGAGAAGACAGTGGTTCAGGGCAACATCCAAGTTGCTATCTCCCAGTGGAACAAAGAATGAGGGTTGATTAATACCCCTAGAAGAACACCTTTCTCCATAAGCAATGCATTTTTCAACAGATCCTTTACCAAGATAATGTTTGACATAGGCAACTGTCACAACTGAAACAAAAATCCTGCTCTTTGTTTGAGATCCTAGCATAAGCCTGAATGTGGGTTCGGTTTTGTCTGCATTGGGTGGCTCATATCTGATCTTCCAAATTTCGGTAGTATCGCACTTTTGTGGGTTTTTGTGCTTGAACGTTATGTTTTGTTAAGAATTCTGAAACATTGTGGTCTACTGGGCCATATTGATCCTTCAATGCCTGATTGTACTCGCTTCTAGCCTTTTCAGTTTGATTCTGGAACTGCCTTTGGGTTGCAACAATTTCTTGTCAAAATTACCGAGAACTTCATCAAACTTTTCTCTAACCTCTTCAGACTCGTCAACTGTGAGGATAGCTTGCAGCTCCTTCTTCATTCTCAGCTGTGTTGCCCGACTTTGTTGACCCTCCTGACTGTCTGGTCTTCTTGTTCTCTTTGGTGAAGACGGCTTCCAATAGTCATAAGTTGACTCTTTGGATTCAGTGGATGGAGATTGTGGGGGCCTTTTCGCTGCAGCAGAAGTGGAAGGTGGTGGTGGTGGTGGTGGCGGTTTGGCGGCAACAGCTGTAGATGGCTCCCCATAGTCCAATGTTGGCTCTGTGGATTCAGTGGATGGAGCTTGTGGGGGCCTTTTTGCTGCAGCAGAAGTGGAAGGTTGTGCTGGTGGTGCTGGCACTTTGGCGGCAACAGCTGTAGATGGCTCCCCATAGTCCAATGTTGACTCTTTGGATTCAGTGGATGGAGCTTGTGGGGGCCTTTTCGCTGCAGCAGAAGTGGAAGGTTGTGCTGGTGGTGCTGGCACTTTGGCGGCAACAGCTGTTCTTCTTCTCTTTGGCAAAGTTGGCTTCCAATAGTCCAAAGTGGAAGAAGCTTGTGGGGGGGGCTTTTTTCCAGCAACAGAAGGGGAAGCTCTTGCAGGCCTTTTTGCAGTGTCAGAAGTGGAAGCTGAAGCTCTTGCCAAAGCAGTGGAAGGTTGTGCGGCTTCTTCAGACTCCTCTAGTAATCCAGCTCTTGCAGGCCTTTTTGCAGCATCAGATGTGGAAGTTGAAGCTCGTGCCGAAGCAGTGGAAGGTTGTGCGGCTGCTTCTTCAGACTCCTCTAGTAATCCATTCAAGAAGCAAACATGGGGAGGCACGCCATTGAAGACAGTGCAAGCAACATGTCCAAAAATAAGCCAGTTCTCATCATAGTGACGTCCCTGTATTGGGAAAAATTTTAATTTCAATTTGCGTACAAATTCGTCGGCATCATGATGGGCCGTAAGCCTGCTCCTATACCAGGCATCCAAGGGTTCTATTCGAGGGCTTTTCTTCTTTCGTTTTGATTGGGATCGTGTGTTCAATCTTGGTCTAGTAGATACCAAATTCAAATTGACCTTCCCTTCCTTCTTGATTCGTCGCAGAGCAGTAGCATTCCTACCTGTAGACCGTCCAGACATCTTAATTACTTCACTGCACCAAGTCTCCAACCTTATAAAAGCGAGGACTTGGCACAACACAATGGGGCTTTTATGGTACACACTGACAATCTCTTTGCGCAATGAAAGTAGACAGGCAGGTGGAAAAACTTCAGAGTGCAGAAGCGGATGCAGGAACCTGTCTCTGAGGAATATGGATTGCTCCTGGCCTACCACTGGCAGAAGGAGAGGGAAGAGATCGATTTGTTGGTTGGTTTGAAAGCACACAGACAAAAAGGATGCTGTTCCTGTGGTGATGTTTTTGTTGTTGTCGGTGAAGATGTTATGTCTTAGCTGTTCCTGTGTGTTTCGGAAGCAAGCAAGCCGGCTGGTCGTTTGTCGTTGAAGCCCGTGCTTGCGCTTTTATTTTTGGATTTAGGAATTAGGAATTTTAATTTGTTTTTGAAAAATCATTGGAAATTTCACCCAGTTTGGGCTCTCTGCGGACACAGGTAGGCGTGCGGCCGGCTGGCAACATTTGGGAGAGTCTTATCTGTTGGATTTCCGACCTGTCATATCCCAACAATTTCTGTCAATAGTAACTCAACCTGAAATCGAAAGAGTCAGTCGGAACCAAGGACTTTTGCTTTTCGGAAGCAATAATGGACCCAAGCCATTCTCAATCCCCCAGCAAGTTCTTCATAATATCCAGTATGCGTCGTGCTGTCAAGTGTCAAGGAGTAGAAAATAAAATTGGCTAGCTTTGGACGATGACTAGTACTCTTTCAAAAAATGTAGGTTGATCTAAAAAGACAAGTGTGGTGGACACTTTATGAAGCATCTATAAGCTCCAAAAGTTGCTGTCCATTCGAGATAAATTCACGCAATAGATTGGGACTGGACGATTCAAAAAGAATATCATGAAGAAATCTCTCCAACAAAAAAACTTTCAGTGAAAGATATCCAGCGTCCAGACATCGATACCACCGCTGTCGTTTTTTCAGTAGCCTCCAGCTAGTTATTGCATTTGGCAGGTGTTCAACTTCGTGTTCCTGGGTTATCGCCAAGGGAGACATATTCGCAATGACACTTGCACAACCCTCATGAGCCTGGGTGACCTTTTTGGACAACTCATGAAAATCAGAATACCGTTTCCAGATGCCAATAGTGTCTCGAATGCTACCTTCTCTATAGATGACAAGGAACTGGGCATACTTGCCATGTTTCTTGCTCTTTCAAAAAGAAAGTAAGCTGTGAGCAGAGACAAATGATGGTGTGCCATTGCCGGGCTTCATTCTTCTTACCTCTACAACACGATAACTGGCAATTGATATATTTACAGTGTCTACCCCGACCACAGGGCCTCCATTAACGCTTGGACGGGCGAATGATTTGCTGACTGTTGTTCCAAAAACGTTGTCGCCCTTAATCAAGACTGTAATGTCGCCCTCGCTGCTGCTTCCTTTGACCGTTTTGTGCACAACTTTGTCTCTACTATTAGAAATGATGATTTCAGATGTTTGCATGTTTTGCAAAGTGGCCTCTGCAATCGCAGCTGTAGGCGTCTTGCTTTTTGATCCAGATTCAGCCGCCGCAACAGCTGCCATTGCATTTGAGGTATCAAAACTACCGTCAGCAAATGGCGACATTGATATAGGTGTTGTGGCAGTCAACACTTCCACTGGAACATTGTAGTCCACCTTAGAGCGGGCAAAATTTTGACTCCACATTTGTTCGTAAAAGGCCCTTTCTTCGACTGGTTGAGGAGGACGATTGCCTGCTGTATATTTCCAAAGTTTCTGGCTGCTCAAAGATTCTTCCAGAACATAAGTCGGTGCTGTAACGGCCATTGCAGCAGCGTCTGCACAGTTGTCCAACACGGTCGAAGAGAGAGAGAGAGAGAGAGAGAGAGAGAGAGAAACCATAAAAGGGCTGTAAGAAATGAAGGATCACAAAGGGCGACGCAAAAGAAAACCGAAAATCGGATCAAGTATCGCCTCGATCCAAGTGCAGGTGCAAGTAAATCCAAATCCAAGCCTTTGGGGTCAAGGTCGTTACCAACCACGGCCCAATCGGCCCTCCAAACCAAGAGGGAGGAACTCAGACTTCATCAACGACTATCGAGAGAGCGAGCACACGTACCTGGATGGCGACTTTGCTGCTTTTGTAGAATGGATTCAACCAAACCTTCGGACGACGAGCTCGTTATTTCAGACGACGGAACCAACCTTGCCTTTTTCTTGTTTCCACTGTTGCTGCTTTTGCGTCGATGTTGACTGTTCTGTGTCTGACTATTTTGGGATTCGTGTACATCTTCAAACCACCCCCAATCCCGAGAGCTATTTTGACTGCTAGCAGCTTTCATGGATGTAGCTGAAGACGAATCACTGGAGACTCTTGAATCTTTTCGGATGAGCATGGGTGTGTTCTGACTATTCAGCTGTGTTTGCATTTGAGTTTGAATTTGTCCAAGGATTTCTGCTCGGTGATTTCCTCGATCTTGCCCTTCCACGGACAGAGTCGCAATCGCAACAGTCGGTATAAAATGAGAAATCGTGGGAGACTTGGAAACCCGTGGTGAAGCCGTGTTTTCTGCCTCCTGTTCCCTTCTGCCTATACTCATATCACTAAGAGAACTACTGGGCGTGTGCATACTACAATCATTTTCCACTGAAGCGGATGGTCTAAAATCCACGCTGGAGGCTGGCATGCCTTCAGACCCGTTTTCATGTCCATTCTCTGAGACTGCTTGTTCTGCCAGAGCATGCGAAGCAACGTCTCCTCCGGAAATTACCCTCTGCATTGCCCCAAACATCTTGAGCCTTGCTAGCTGGATTTCTCTCAAAAGATATTGATAGTTTCGAGATTTCTTAGCCTTGTATTTGTTCGAACTCCTAACCCTTTTCAACGGCGTTTGCTACAAATCAAAAGTCATGATAAACGGTACACAGTAAGAACGCTTATTTCAAGGTAAAGCAACAGGTGTGGATTTACAGGAAGGCTTCCTACCTTACTTTCTTTTGGGGGAAGTTGAGCTACTACTACGGCTATGAATAATCTGCAAAGTGGCCCGTCTTCTTTTCCCCGGGCAGCTTAGCTTGTAACTTTGTGACTGTGCACGTGAAAGCTGAGATGTACGGTGGGTGTTCGGGTGTCAGAAATCAAGCTACTTGTATCGTTTTAGGCGGGAAGTTATCGAACCACGTTTCGCGTCCAGCGTGCAGCGTGCAGTGCATTTCATTTTTTTTGCTGCACCCTGCACGCGTGTTTAAAGTCGATCGCCATGCATGCACCTCATCCATATGGTAGTCGTATTGGTCGTACATCAATTACTTTCGTACTATAAATTTATTTTGGCATAGCAAGTACAGTTATGTTGAATTGCATGGCATCATAACCAACGACGAATTCTGATAGCTGAGCGTCGTAGATTACTTCAGTGGTCATTACCATGTCTACGGCCTGAATGTACAA